ACACCTCAGACTACCCCCTGTGTACCCCCTTCGTAAGATGTGGGTATAGATTTGAAAATTTATCGAAATTTTCCAACCGCTATATTTTTGCCTAGACCACACTTTAGGCATAGGGGATATGGTGTTTCCGACTATTTGGGCCAAGACCTTTCCAACGGTACCTAACATACCGGGGCCCAAATAGTGTCCTGAGAAAATAGCATATTTACTGTATATATACACGTGACGCAAAAACTGGCATTTTTTGATATTTGGCTTGAAATGCACAGTCTATGGTGCGTCACTTGTCGGACTACCGTCCTCCGTAATATAATTAAGACAGAAAACAATTTAAAAACAAACAAATTTGTAAAAAATAGACGTCTAATTTGACAGGTGTTGCCATATTTGTTGATTCGGTTGTTCACAGACCCCCATTATTTTTGCAAAAAAACATTAGTTTACTTTGACCAAAACCCTGAAAATGGCTTTCTGTGTGATTTTTCATACAAAAGTCTATTTTTCGAGGAAAATTTCAAGAAATGTTGATTTTGGACCAAATTTATGGGCAAGTAGGTGTTCGGTTGTTTGGAGGCTCCCATTATTTTTGCAAAAAAATATCAGTTTGCTTTGACCAAAACCCTAAAAAATGGCTTTCTGTGTGATTTTTCATACAAAAGTCTATTTTTCGAGGAAAATTTCAAGAAATGTCGATTTTGGACCAAATTTATGGGCAAATAGGTGTTCGGTTGTTCACAGACTCCCATTATTTTCGCAAAAAAATGGCAGTTTGCTTTGATCAAAACACTGAAAAATGCTTTTTTCGGGTACTTCCCGTACAAAAGTGTCATTTTTCAAGGTTTTTCAGGTCCTCAGTCGGAGGCTTATATTACGAAATTGGTAAATCAGAATGGGCTCAAAATCAATCCGAAGCTTTGTCTTGACATGCCAAAACTTTTGGCTTTTACAGATCTCAATTATCTTGTCAACTTTTTGAGATAATCGGCGGACAAAAAGCTCGGACGCGAACGCGAACGACGCCATACGCACATCGTTATTTTGCACATATTTCATAGTAAACAACATGTTTTTGGGGGTAGATAGGTCTTGATCGATAAGATTTCATCCCATCTACATTGCCTAGTGTACAGATATGTGCTTTTTGAAGTTTGGCGTGACGTTATAGTGGTCCGAAAGAGGAGATGTCATGAAATTTTGGCTAGTAAAACCAATACTTTTCCATACAAACAAAGTTTGCGGAAAAGTAAAATCATTTCGGAGCGATTTGGATTTGCTTTTTTTGCATTCTTCCAACTAATTTCAGAATCGCTCCGTAAGGATTTTTTAAAATTGATATCAGCTGTTTTGTGTTCGCTTTCGGCACGAGGAATTACTTCGAAAGAAGTTTTTTTATTTGATAAATAATACTTGAATAATCGCAGAAAAAATTATGTGCATAACGAAGATTGTCCTCCTGAAACGAGGACGTCTAGGCACATTACTCATGCGTATTCAAAAAATAATGACCTTTGGATGAATGAATTTTAATTATTTTCCTTGTAATTTTCTTCTAGGCCATAGAAATAAAAATGCAAAATTTTAATGAAATTGTATATTAATATATTCATATAATGCAACCTTAACAAAACTTAAGCATGTATTTCATTATGCACATAATTTGCAGCCGCCGTTTTTACTTTAGCCACTGTTCCGTCGTTACCGTATTTTTGCTCAAATTCCAAATATTTTTTGAATATAGTTCGCATTTTTTTCATGGGAATCTTATGCGATACGGCCCGTTCCAAAGTTTGTCTAGAAAAATGCAAAAAAATTCATAATAATTCGAATGTTTTTGGGGGTTTTTCCAATTTTTTAGAAGTATTAATAAAATGCAAGGGAGATCTTCTGAACCCAAAACCCCCCCCCCCCTCTAGTCACGCCACTGGTTATAATGTACTGAAAAGGAGAATCACCTAGCTATGTCAATGTCATCGGCTTTGATCAAAATATCGATGTACTGTGACCAGCAATCAACTCGTTTCGGGTGAGAAACCAAAATTTGTTCAAACAAAGCATGTGCATGGTTTTTCTCGTTGAATTTATTACACATGATCGCAAAACGGCTAATTGCACTGATGTCTGTAAGAACGGAAAAAAAGTTTCATCTTGCCTTTGAATAAAAATTAATAATAAAATTAAGGGGATTCTTACGATCTCGTTTAGGTAATGAATTCAACGCACGGTTCAACAGAGTTTTCGCTTTTTCATTTAGATCGACTTCAAATAGAGCCCAAGCCGCATTCAACCAGGAGTCGGCATTTTGCCGAAATTTCTTAGTAATAGTCAATGTCATGTCACACAGCTCCTGAATTCGTTTGCAATCAGCAAAAATTTTCAAACATACTGAATACACTTTGAACGGTTCGCTTACTAAGAGTGCCTCTTTTAAAACCTCGTCGAATACATCTTTACTCCCAAAACGAATTTCCAAGTTAAGCAATGCAGCCTAAGCAAAGATCACAAAGCAAAAAAAAATTATTAATTCAATGAAAGTAATGAAAATATAAAGAAAATGAAATGAAATTTTTTTACACATATTACTCAGAAACACTCCTTACAAATCTCGTTGAACAGATTTTAATGCTATGCATGTTCGCAATGAAAACCTATAAATCATTACTAAAAATTAATGACGCATAACTGTGATTTTTACACAAATTCATCGTAAATTTAGCTACATTGACTGTGATATAGCCATCCATTGAGTTGGTGATTGTTTTGACCTGTTATTTATTTGTTTATAATGGAAACTGATTAAGTTATGTCAATGTATTACGAAGGTTAACTTAAATTGTTTATATCTTTTGGTCTCGACCTGAATTGTAAATTCAAAACTACCAACAGGGTCTTGTTTACTGTTTAGATTAGACGTAAAACTTCTCTTCAATTTACCACCTACTCGTATTTGATAAATTGAACGATGACTTTTGCAGTCATTGAGGTCGACACTAAAATATTCAACGCTCCAGTTAGTCTATCATTTCTAAAACGTGTTGTTAGATTATCTTGAACCGTTGACAATCGGCTTTCATTAGACATTTTCCTGTTTAGTCATTCGCATAAGCTAGGTTTTCTTTTAGCCAGTCGAGAACCAATATTAATGTAAAATTAAACTATATCCTGTTATACCCTAAATTGTATAAAAATCAAAAGATCAGGTTTTTCATGACTCTTGGAGCCATTTTCTTGCAAATCTGCCGATTCCGTTCAAATGTACTAGATCATGCAATGTTTTTCTGCTATCGCGATTTCAGTATTTACTGATTACTTTCCAATTATTATGATTTTATGTGCCTATCTTCTTGCATTATTTAAAAATGTATTCATTTCTTAAGGCTATTATTCATTTCATTTTAACTAACCCAAATGTTCAGACGATCTTGTTCCTCACGAACATCGATCGTTTTTAGAGCTTTTTTACCAATCCCTCTTGCTCTGTCAATCTCCGTAGCTTGTACATGAAATACCATATAATTAATCCAAGCCCTGCTATTATTTGGTTGACCAATTACTAGACGATCGAATTGATCGATGCTTGCTGGTAAAATGGAATCATCGGCCAGATCTTTTTCAATTTCTCTTATGCGCGTTTCTTCCGAACGTGCTGCTTCGAATCGTTGTTTTGACGTCAATTTTCGATTTTTCAACGAAGACAATTCATCTTCACTTGAACTTCCACTGTCAGCTTCAGCAGCATTCAATACATTTAAATCCGTTGACCAAAAATTTGAAACACCTGGAAGCTTTCCCTCTTCGTTTTCGTCCTCATCACTTGAGCTATCAGCCAAATCAATTGCCCCATCTACTTGAGATAATTTCATTGAGAACCGCTTTGCTCTTTTGTTTTTATCAGAAGTTACTGGCTTTTTTGTGTTCGTTTCTAGTTTTCTCTTCTTCCTGGCAACTAGGTCATCATTATTTCTGTTGACTTCCATGTTTGACACACTCTGCAAGATGTTATCTACAGCAGTCTTCTTCTTCTTATTCTTCGTCGGGTGTGTTTTTGATATAACGGGTTCGACGGTATCCTCTGGTGAAAATGTAGACTTTCGTTTTTTCGCCTTCTTCTTCTGGTTATTCAACGCCGTTTCCAATGACTTCACTTTGTTCTTTTTCTTATTTTTCATTGGGGTTGAATCGATCGTCTTTCGAGGAACAAGATCGTCTTTCGATTCTAATTTGATAAATTCCAACGTTTGATCTATTTTTTTGCTGTAAAGCTCGTACATGCCATGGAGCATACCAATAAAATGGTCCCCATTGACATCTATCACTGAAACATTTACTTGAGATCCTTCTGTGATACCTTTGGCGATCAATGGTTGAAAGTCATTGTAATGGACTCGGGTCGGTATGTAAACTAAACGATTTGTCCACTTTGTGGGATATACGATAATCAACTCCTCGAGTGTTAATAGCACATTTGCTTTGAAACCACGATGACTCAATAGCTGCTGAGCTGCATTTTCTTCTTCTTGCTTTATATTGGCTCGTTCGAGGTATTTATGTTGCATAGTTCCGTACAAAACTTCATTCAAATAGTCGATCCAAACGATAAGGATTTTGTGCTTTTTGTCCTTTCCCTTTTTCTTGGTTGCATCATTACTCTTTGTGACATACAATTTAGTACCATCTTCTAACAGAAAAGTGCGTATCGGTTGATTGTTACCATCCACTCGATCAGATTCTGTGAGTGTGCCTTCAACTATCTGACCAACTCGATATGCTTTTATTGAATTGTTCGTTTTAATGCGCGCTTCAATTTCTCTAATGTCGCTGAAGTATCGGCGTACCATTTGAACAGTGTGTTTGAAACTTCCTGGCCAAACATCGTCCAGTCGGGCACTGCAAGTTAACGTTTTCAGTGCATAATTTTTTGCCAAAATTCGTACATACACTTTCTGGTCTGGTAAAAGTGTAACATCACCAGATTTTTCATAATTTTCAATAAACATATTCAAATGAATTGACACCGTAGCACGAAAATCCTTGATCAAACATTGCACATCGATCAGATCATTTGAAACATTCTTGATGAACGCTGGAATTATGTCACCAACTTTGATTTCATTGAATTTTTTCACGACGATTGGTTCTCCTGAAATATTTGTAACATCCCTAACTGAATAGCAATTTTGTGCTATTCCAATTACATTGATGGTATCGTTACATTGATAGACACGGTGCAATGTGTGCACTAGACTTGAAAAGTCAGACAAGTACATAATTGGCACGAATCCGCTAAGATTTTCCTGTAAGAAGGCAACGTCCAGTCCAGTTGGTTGAATTGCACTTATTTTGCCAGTCCTTATGCCTCCAATATCAGTTAAAAAGTCGGCCAGTCCAAGAGTAATATGCTTTTTATTATTATTATTATTACTGTCGTTTCGCACAAATTTGATGGTCACCTTGATTATTTGTCCCGTGTAAAACTTCTCAGCCGTGCTCAATTCATTCACAGTCAATTGACTTCGATATAACATGCCACATAAATAGTCAAAAAACTCAATGAGCCAACCATCAGACATGCACCGTTTGACTAATCCAAGGAATACAGAATCACGGGATAGATTTTCATTCGCCGTAAGAATTGAGGCTTGTTCGTCCATATATTCTTTCAAATTCGTTAAGAAAATTTCTTGTTTGGCTTGATTTTTGCACAGTACACGACACCTCAGTTTTCGATTTGGTTGCAATTTACCTGCTGGTGTGGTTTTTGATAAATAATTTGGGTGAATGTAACCTTTAATTTGGCCAACTGCTATAGCATATCGTCCATCATTCAATTTCCGTTGAATTGTTGCGTTGACAAATTCTCCTGTTTTTATATCGGAAGACGAAAAGTACTTTTCATTGATGATTTTTGGGTCGACGGAACAGACATGAAGCAAATCAATTGGATCATAATGCAATACACGTATTTTATGCACTGAATTTGCTTGGTATTTTGATAACAGGGTTTCCATGTCGAAATTTGCCTTGATATCACTCTTCAGCGACCTAAGACTAATGATGCCTTTGGCATTTGGTAATTTCAAAACTATCCCTCCGGTCCCGATGTGTGATACAATGGCCTTTTCCATGATTGTACCAACTGGTAAGATATTCGCTCCATTCATATTGAAATGATTTTGTAAATTTAATGATAAATAGACTATTTTAGTCAACGGCATAACATATAACACTCGTGCTTTTATTGTTGAGTTGACTTCAAAATTGTTTGGTTCTTTTGGAATTTGTTTGTCTGAAAAACCCAATTGATGTTCGTTGATGTATGCCACCAAACCATCATTGAGAATTGTGCCTTGAAGCCCGTCCTTCAACACTTTTGTAACTTTGAAATTCATAAGAATGCCGGGCAAAATATGGTTTACGTTTGGTTCATTAAATTGAACCACGCGATTGTTCGTATCATTGGCGAGCCCGAATGTAGCCGTACTTGCGGTCGTTGAATTAACAGCTTTTTTAACACGACAAAAGTAAACACCTCCAACAATTAAAGTGCTCTTTGTTTCGGGAAGAAATCCACGCAAATTTTCCACTCCAGTTTCAATAACATAACCATGCTCCTGACGCTCTGCTATGGCTACAAACATTATCATATTTGCTGACACATTTTGATGTTTGAAGTCTGCTTGAATGTCTTTTGGCAGCATACTCAAATCAATGTGAATTTTATTGGTTTTGATCGTATCAATTTTCTTCACTTTCACACAAACTACTTGGCCAATTTCATATAGACTTGATATGGGCTTGTACTCATCATCAATGCCAGATTTCGTGTCATCAGTCTCATTTTGGATGTACTGTTGTGTCAGTTCTAAATATGTATGTGATATGGATGAAACGTTCACTATTCCATTCATTCGACCAGGTAGTGCCACTTCGATTGACGTTGGATTTATACATTTTACACAGCCTAGGGCAAGATCACAGAAACAAAAATATTAATTCAGTCAGAATAACAAAGAAAAATATAACTCATTCGAAAATAAAATGAAGATGATCAAAAAATGTTGCTTGAAAATTGGACTAGTGAGTTCTTCCTTTCTAAAGATGTCCTATACTCATTTTATTTACAGTTCATCTAATGAAGTATTTGGCATTCAGTGAAAATGTATCGCACAAAATAGAGTAATGAATTGTAACAAACCCAGAATAACCATTCCTTCGCGAATCGTTCGAAATGATAACAACTCGGCTGAAACCGCTTCAATGGACTTTGGTTTATTCGTTGCCTCATCTTTTTTCTGTGAACGGGCTGCCTCGCGTTGCTTTTTATTCGGTTTTTCTTTGTGTGGTTTCGGTTTTGTTACTGCTCCAAAATTCTAATTTTAAAATGAATCAAAGATATGTTTTAGAATGATTTGCTTCGATACGTGTTGAATTAAAAAAATTTCAAAGATGAATTTCAAAGATGAACTTACTATGATCGATTCTTTTGGTTTCTTCTGTATAACACCACCACGTGGAAAACTTGTTTCAGTAATGACCATAGCGATCTTTTTTATTGACTTTTTTTTTATTTTAAGAGAAAAAATAATATTTTCAGTATGAAATACCTTTGAAAATTGTATTTTTTGCTTTTGAATCTTTTATTTCAAATAGTAGACGCGTGCCGCACTATATTTACTCTAGAATAAGGTGCACATGGTTTTTGACAGATGTGTCTCCAATTTTCAGAGTATATTCTTCTATCTGATTGCAGCGCCTCTTTCACATTTATCGACTTATACACACGAAAAATGACAAATCGTACACGCGCTTTTTTCACGTGTGCTACCAGATCGAATTACTCGCCGAAACGTTTATATATTCTGACCAGTCTCATAATAAAGTTGTGCATTTTCCGGGCAGAATCGTTCAAGTTTTATTACAGAATGTCTTCTTATTCTCACGATTCTCATTCAGACGATGATAGTTGGGATGAAACGGATGCGGAGGAAATGGAAAAAGAGCCTACAAAATGTTTATTTTGCAATGAGATTGAGGAATCTATCGAAAAGGCAATTCAACATCTCTATCAACAGCATAGCGTGAACTTGAGTGATATCAAACGAAAGTTCAATTTGGATCAGTATTCCTATATTAAAGTAAGTAGTTTGACTTATTTTTTCTTCTTCAAGAAATTATTCGTACCTAATTTTTGAAACTTTTAGATGATAAACTACATTAAAACACATAATATAACGGCCGAACACTTTGTTAAGATCAAAGAAGTTCTTTGGAGTGATGACAAATATATGAAACCAGTTGAAGTAGATGCATGGCTGATGTTTGGTAGATTTTTCTTTTCATCAAATGAACGGGTGAGATTGAAAACAAGACATATTCTGGGAATATATATGAATGATACAAAAACGAATGATTTTTTTAAAGTGTAACATCGGCAGAGAATTTTTCAAAGTGAAACACCGCGTGTTATATTTCAATAAAATTTGTTTTCCATGATTCACTTTAAAATCGAATACAAAAGTACGTTGGAAAAAAATACTTGCTGCAAGCATTTTGCTTGCATCGTCTGGCGGCACCTTAACACAACAGCTTGTAATACGAGAAAAAATTGCACATAAGTGTGAGCGAAACAGCATAAGTTTTCGGCGCTCGATTGTTTTCCATATAGGCCAATGCAATTGAATATAATATTATTAAATATTTACGCATGGAAATATCTCGAAAACGGCTGGGTAAAACGGAAAAATGGACCGTAATGTCACTCCCAAGGGGAGTGTAAACACCAGCTGGTTTGATGGCCTAGAATACAAATCCGGTGAAATTTCATCTGATCCATGGATTCTCAGATTCCAGTGCTTCCCCTTTTATGTGCATCTGTAAAGTCATTAAACCTATGTTTTGTATGGAATTTCACCACGACGGAGAGAAATTGAAGTGCTAGAATCAGGTCGAATCCTGAGAATCCATGGATCAGCCCAAATTACACCGGATTTGTATCCTAGGCTATCAAACCAGCCAGGTGTTTGCACTTCCTTCGGGAGTGACATCACGGTCCATTTTGCCGTTTTACCCAGCCGTTTTCGAGATATTTCCATATGCAAAAATTTAATAATATTATCTAATTGCGACAATTTATCGAACTGTAACATCAAATAAAAATATATTAAAACAAAACATGCGAAGAAAATCAATTAAATGCAACACCAACACAAGAATATTTCGAAACGAAACATCGCCGCAAACGTTTTTCAAAGTGAATCATGGAAAACAAATTTTATTGAAATGTAACACGCGGTGTTTCACTTTGAAAAATTCTCTGCCGATGTTACACTTTAAAAAAAATCTTTTTTTGGTGGTTCATTTAAATATGCTGTGGAAATATGTCTTGTTTTCAATCTCATCCATTCAAATAAGATAATAATAATATAAAATATAAAATATATTATAAGTTGGAATTCATTTTTATTTTTAAGACATTGAGGATTTTCCAAACGAGTGCCAATCGAACGACGATGCTAATCATGCACATAGAATTGAATCCTTGCAACAACAGCTGGAAGAAAAAGATGTCCTGATTGAACAGTTACTCGAGCAAATCAATCAGATGAAAAGTGGTTTTCATGAATGGGTTGATCGCACAGCAAATAGTCTAACGACAGTGGCTGAAAGTACAGAGAGAAATTTTCCGGCGCCGGCACCAGCACCAGAATCAGCAGTAGCGGAGCAAACCCATGTAGCTGAAATTCCCATTTCCCAAGACGAACCATATTTTATTGCATACTCACATTTTGGAATCCATTTTGATATGTTAAGCGTGAGCATTTTCCATGGGGTGGCATTCATAACGCCCCGGACATACAGCATGCTTCTGTGTTTTCTATTACATTAGAGTATGGTGTTCGTCCAGGGGCGTCATGACCGCCACTCGTCAAGTCGTATTTTGGATACGAACAATAGCAATAACATTTCATTTGTAGGATTCCGTTCGGACGAACAGCTATCGCGAAGCTATTCTACAAAATCGAATATCATTCAATAATAAAAATGTGTTGGACGTAGGTTGTGGGTCCGCAATTCTTTCCATGTTTTCTTCACAAGCGGGTGCCAAAAAAGTCTTTGCTGTCGACCAATCGGAAATCATCTATTTTGCAATGGACATTGCACATCGGAACGATATAAAAAACGTTGAATTTGTGAAAGGTCGACTCGAAAATATGGAACTCCCATTGGCCGCCGGCGAGAGTGTTGACATCATTGTGTCGGAATGGATGGGATATTTTTTGCTGTTTGAAGGAATGTTGGACAGCGTTATACATGCTCGAGATAAATATTTAAAGCCAGGCGGTCTATTGTTGCCTAATCGTTGCAACATCAATTTGATGGGTTTGGGAGATGAAGAGCGACATAGCGAATACATTGGATTTTGGACGGATGTGTACGGATACGATATGAGTGCATTGCAGAAGAAGGTGTTACAGGAAGCCGTGGTAGAAAATGCTCGCCACGAGCATGTCTTAACTGAAGCGGTGGTCATTGCTGATTTTAATTTACTAATGGTGGACTACACATATCCTAACTTCAAACATGACTTTATGTTGAAAATTAAAAAAAGTGGGAAATTCACTGCATTTGTCGGATATTTTGACACTTTTTTTGATTTGCCACAAAGGGTAGAGTTTACAACATCGCCACATGCGACACCGACACACTGGAAGCAAGTGATTTTCTACCTGAAAAACCCAGTTCCGGTCAATGAAGGGGATAACATTTGTGGACAATTTCAATGTAACCGGGGAAAATCGGATGCCCGAGCAATTAGCGTAAAAATAACTGCTTTTGATCAGGATTTCTTTTTTAATTTGAATTAAAAATATAATTTACCAGTATATACATAATATTTATATATAAATCAATTTTTCTCTCAAATTCATAAATAAAATGTATTATTGTTTCAAATTTCTGGCTTTTTGATTTCGCCTTCAAACCGAATTGTGTATGATATAGCACAAACCATGTGCACTTTCTAAATTGTTGTCAAATAACAAATAATTATTCAAACGTCGTCGTCGTTTGAGCACATGTCAAAGTAGGAATTATTTTGACGTTTAATCCAGACAACCATAATGAATAGTAGCGCCAAATTCACAATTACGAACTAATCTCGTAAATGTCACCATCAAGAAACGTAATCAAGGAATAATATACATTTCGATGGACAATAAAAAGCGTACATCACAACATCAAACTTATTCGGTCGACTTTATATAAAACAATATATTTAACATACAAAATGTTTAAATGATATTCACAAAAACTTGAAAAACAATTCACATGTTGTAGTCTCTGTATATTGTGATTTATTGTGTTCCATGCTTTTGTCCCGTTTTTTAATTTAAAATAAGGTGTTTATATACAATATATATATTATTATAAACTGATAAAATGTTCTTCATCATTGAAATTAGTTATCGAGTGTTTATTATTTTTAGTGATACTTTTTATAAAATACAAAATATTGTAATCTTTTTCTATTAAAATGATTTTATCCCAAATGCAATGAAACTGATTCTGTGGTAGTATACAATATAAATTGACAAAATAGACAGACATAACTGTATTCTTTTCAAATTTCTTAACATTCTGCAATGGAACGAGTGTATACTAAAAGTACCTTTTATGCAGAGCTGGTCACAAAGTTTGGAAAAAAAAATCTAGTTTGAAAATTTGTGGCCGAAATGGCATAAGCTTTTAAGTCATTAGCAATGTGGAGATTTTGAATCATAGCAAATTTTTCAACATAATTGATGAAATGGAGAATTTTTGAGTTATTCAAAGAATTTAAAAAAAAATAATTCAGTTACACATCCACGATTGATTTTTGTTTGCAGGTAATCTCATCGTTCGTCTTGAACAATACAACGGAAAATGTCATTTGATGGAAAACAAAGAGGACGTGGGAAAGCGAATCTCAATGATAATGAACCGAGCACATCATCTTCAGGTGGGAGGGATCTTCATTTCTGATTTATTGTTGGTGTTATTAATTAGAAACTCTTGGAATATACTAAAAGAATGCTACGAATCCATACCAGTTCTAGAATTGTTACGTTTAAATTGATAATTGCACTGGAAAAAATGAGATGAATGATGAGCATTTAATTATTGATTTTTCAGGAAAACGTACACGTGATCATAGTAATGGTGGCGATAATAAGCGACACGCGCCAGAAAATAAACGTAAGAAAAATGTTTTTTTTTCAGCTGTACTTTTTTTAATTATAAAACATAAACTGATGCTCTATAGGTGGTCCGAGTCGGCGTAGAGATTTTACGGTGTTGATAAGAACAAAACCTCACGAAAACGCAACATCCCATGATCCTAGAGCACTGCAAAAAGCTACCTTCGTAAGATTGGAAGCGAATTATTTCGCCCTACAATCGCAGAGGGCTTGTAATCAGTGGAAAATTTACAAATACCACATTACTTTTGATCCCGAATGTATGATGAAACGAATGCAAATGTTTCTGGTGTCTCAACATAAAAATAAAATCGGCGGTTATCTTTTCGATGGCGCTCAATTATTCACGACGCGAAATCTGCACGCAGAAAACAAATCAGTTGAATTTAAATCAGAAACCAGAGACAAAAACGTATATACAATTAAAATGGTATTTACACGAATTGTATTGATGAGTGATCAAGAATCATTGCAAGTTCTTAATTTGATACAACGCCGAAATATGAGCGGACTGCATTTGCAATTGGTCGGCCGAAATTATTACGATCCTAAGAATATGGTAATAGCAACATATACATGACGATTTTATTGCAAGTGACTAATCGTAAATTTATTTTGATTGTAAAAGATTGACTTACGTCGATTCAACATTCAGCTATGGCCGGGTTATGAAACGTCAGTGAGATATCACGACGCCGGGATATTACTTAATTGTGATGTAGCGCACAAAGTCATGCGAACAGATACAGTTTATGAACTAATGAGGGAAATCCAACGTAGCGATTCACGAAACTTTGAAAATACTTTTCGGCAAAAAGTACTCGGAATGACAGTTTTGACCGGTTACAATAACAAAACCTATCGCATCGACGATGTCGATTTCAACATCACACCATCAAGCACGTTTTCTCGAAACAACACTGAAGTCACCATCAAGCAATACTATTCAGAAGTAATTGAAATGAAAAACTCAATGCATTAATCAAATCATGCATATTTTTCCAAAACAGTACATTGAGCGCGTCGCCGAACAAAGTGATACAACGTTCTGTTACTGGCACAAAATGAAACACCTACCGCGCTTCGAAACAAAGCGCAACGTGAATAAAATAGTAGCCAACGATTTCATGCTTCATATTGATCCAATAACAGATTGGTGTTTCACTTTGTTCGGCGATTTTTTTGCGTTTCGTATTCATCGGCGAAGAGTCAATACGTTGTTTTTATGCTCACGGGTTCAAATTTGCATCGTTCTATAGAAATATCATATCGAAATAAGAGATGCATCACAGCCATTATTGATTTCACAACCAAGAGCGAAAGATTTGCGCGGAGGTGAGCGAAAATCGGCATGGCTTGTACCGGAACTTTGCCGTATTACTGGCTTGGACGAGAGACAACGAAATGATATAAAGTATGTCGAACTGTTGTTAATCATAGTATAGTAGTTTTTTCATTTTTATTTTTGAATAAACCTTATTTGTACCGAAAATCCATAGCTTGAAAATGGCGATGAGACCCTATTCTCAAATGGAACCGCGGATTCGAAGGCAAGTCTTTACCCCATCAAGTTTTTCTGTTTTTGAACAAATTTCTGTTGTCAAATGCACCACTTCCATTAAAATGGACGAACTTGTCACTATAAACTGAGCGAAAATACTTCAGAAATTATGAAATAATTATAAATATTACAATTTTGTATCATTTTGAATTTTCAAACAGACAACGTCTGCTAGATTTCTACAATCGGATTCAAATTAGCGAAGAGAATAATAAAATAAAAGAAGAATGGGGACTTCAAATTCAACCTAATTTAGTACAAGTTAACGCCTATTGCATTGACCCAGAAACGTTGACTTTTGGCGATGACAATAAACTAGTGTATGTTTCAAAAATTTGGACTTCCCACAATATTCGGAATTTTCATATTTCATTTCAATTTTGCAGTGTAAACAGGGCAAGCTGGGAGCGAGAAACGGGTCGCGGCTCTTACACGCTGTATTCACCAATAGACTTATCGCGATGGATAGTAGCTTGTCCACAATCAATGGAAAGAGAAATGCAACAATTCGTTCATCGTCTCAAAGAATTTGCAACAAACATGGGATTCCCTGTAAAGGATCCACGCTGGTATTTAATACATACTATGTACCCGGTTCTTTCATCCCCTTATATATAGAGATAAGAGTTTATATCTAATTTTTCTTCTTCAATTTATTGAAAAACAGGGAACGGTTCAATGGCGACTCAGATATGGTACGTGAACTTGATAGGCTGGCAAACATGAATCCCCGTCTCATATTATTTGGAACGTCAACAAATAGTCGAAGGAATTCTGATTTGTATGTATTGTTGTCTCAATTTTATTAATTCAGGTGTAAACACATAAATCTTCACTTCCATCAACAGATATTCAGGAATTAAGAAGAAGTGTTTTGCTGATTATGCCATTTCATCTCAAGTAGTGACCAAATTCATCCTGAGCAGTCAACGAAACAAATATGATTCAGTGGTAACCAAGGTGGCTATACAAATGTACGTTTCAAACATGTTATAGGCTCATTCAAGTCATTACTTTGGCACTATTTTTATTTGCAGGTGCTCAAAATTAGGTGGCGCTCCGTGGTATCCTCGATGTCCACTTAAAAACACAATGACCGTGGGCTTTGATTTAGCGAAAGATACAAACAACAAAAACGTCTTTTATGCCTGTTTAGTGGCTACCATGGATCTCAAAGAAGAAGTGGGCTTCTTCAGTGCAGTTTCCAGTAAGTAAAAGAAGCGACGTAGTTTCGCCTTCATATAAAAATTGTATTTGCCGGCCCATGTACTTTGGTTCATGAAGTTGAACATCATTCTCACGCATTAGCCGTAAACATTCATTTGCATGGTATTTTACAATTTGCATATCCGCTCTTCTGTCCCGTATTCAGTGATAATACCTACAGCGTTCTAGCGTCACTAAAAATGATATCAGTCTTTTTTAATGATAAATCCACGCACAGGAGCGTCAGTCCATTTAAATCTCGTCCACCGGTTTTTCATCTGATAGTCGTGACGCTAAAACTGGCATTTTTGACATTTGGCTTGAAATGCACAGCCTGTTTATGGAGCGTCACTTGTCAGACTACCGTCCTCCGTGATTATAT